TCCACATACTACTGATATTGCCGAATGTGTTCGAGTTCACGCAAGCCATGATTTCACTGCTCTCTTTTTAGTTATTTCAGAGTTGTCGATCTGTTGCGAGAAGGATTTAGTCGAGTAGGTATGTTGTTAAGAGAACATTTATGTAACCACTTACTAACTCAGCCGCCAGAAAATTTTTATTCTCGATTTGACTATATAGGATGATAGGTTTACTCATACTATAGCTAAATCTAAAATATTACCTCTTTCTGATTCCTCTCTGAAAAGTTATCCCATAACGAAAATTTCATAGTGATTATTCATATAGTAAATATGTCATTTTTGGGTGGTCCGAGTCGTTTTGAGATATCTCTGCTTCGGTTCTAAGGTTTTTGCTCGGGAACGTCTTAAAAGATGCAGAATTTTTCGCTCAACAAACGTGAGTATTTATTAAATATTCTAACCTCAAAATTTACCGTCTACTTTTCATACAAATAAAAGCATTTGAAGAACCAATGTACGTATGATACAGTATTTTCACCATTGTTACTCAACATATGCTCGTCCCAAGACAATTCAACCATATTCTGAAAGCCCTTGAAATTTTGCATCGAATGATATATCCTCCTGGCGAAAAAATATCAGCAAAAAATTACCATGAACCACAAATGAGCCAAGTAGAAGCTCTTTTGTCCACTATCGTCATCTATTATTCATGCACTAATGTTCGTAATGTAGCCATTCATTATTTCATCTTTCATCGAATCCAAAATATCATTCTAGATTCATAATCAGCATTCAAAATTGACCCAGATTAGACTTTAAATTATATGAATCGAAAAGTTTTTATAGTGGACTTCTCTAACAAACATTCATTGATGGAAGATTTTCTGCATTATATCTTCTACCCTAAATTTCAGGAAAGTATTGAACATTTTTACTCGAATATAAAATATATATCTGCACACAACTTTTCAAGATCTATCCATTGGAACGTTTTCCTACTCACTTTCTGTGAGTTTCAATGCATGGTACTTTTGCTTTGATCACACGTTCTATCGAATAAGCATATTATTTCAGTTACAATCATCCAATGTTTTTTCAACAGTTATTTTCACATACAGTCTGGTGCATAGTTATAAGACCACTTGTTTTAAAATTAAGCTTAATGAGATAAATACTATTTCGTGTGATTTGACATAGGTGAGTCATAAGAATGTCGCCACAAAATTTTCAAGCACTAATCCTTTCGTTTTCATATATATGTAGAGTTTCCTCCATTATTGTGGTGCATAATTATAGGGCCACGTGATAGGTTTATAGTAATAAACGAATCGTGAGTAACTCTAAGTAAAATTAATAAATCAGATAGTGTAACGAAAAATATAGACATATATAATGTGGCATATAATCGTATATATATATGTATATATATTCGTTAATGACAAATGGAGAGGCACATTAACAGTCTTTGATCCCATTGTTGGGCATGACGTTTATTCGACTAGTGCATTACATCCAAATGTGCACTACCTCCGAATGTGCACTAACTCCAAATGTGCACCAGCTCCAAATGTGCACTGACTCCAAATGTGCACCAGCTCCAAATGTGCACTGACTCCAAATGTGCACCAGCTCCAAATGTGCACTGACTCCAAATGTAACTATCTAATACATAACATGAGCTTATATAGGAGAGAGATGGAAGAGAGAAGAGAGAGAAAAGAGAATACAACATCAGAGGAGAAAGAAAAGAGGAATGATATAACAGAACATTACGCAATCGTATCTTTTAGATATGAAGGACACGTTTATATACGATGAGGTCAAGGAGAGAACAGACATAGAGGATCAGTGTAGTATACGACTGAATGGCGTTACACAATGATAAGCGCATAATGACAGCAAGAGAACAAAGTCAACTCACGCATAGACGAACGTAAGAGCAACACAATCCACGAACACTGTATCATAGATTATATGAGAATACACTGAGAAATACAAGATATCACATAAGCTAATATGCCCATTGGCACAGATAGCGCTTCACATTCAAGTTTTATTATGCCGAGAGCAATACAGTTAACAGAAAGCAAGAAAAGGTCTATCTTAGACCTATACAAGAAAAACAAGTCTTATCGAGAGATTGCAAGGAAAATCAATCGATCAAAAACTGTGGTAACAAATTTTTTGAAAGATCCACTTCAATATGGCTCAAGAAAACGAACTGGTCGTAGAAACAAGATCGATGAACGTACAAAACGACTTGTTTTGAGAACTGCCAGCAACAAGTCAATATCTTGCGCCAACATTATTGATGATTTAAGTTTGAAAATGTCGAGACGGACTATCAATCATGTTATAAAAAGGTCAAATATACTTAAAAAAATGGAAAAAAAAACATTCTCCTGCATTAACAACAGCTCACAAAGATCATATGACATGGAATAACGAGTGGAACAAAGTCATCTGGTCTGATGAAAAGAAGTTTAATTTAGACGATCCTGATCATTTTTCGTACTATTGGCATGATCTTCGTAAAGAAGAAGAGATTTTTTCCACTCGTGTTCAAGGTAGTGGTAGTGTCATGATTTGGGCGTCGTTTGGCTGGGGTGGTAAGAGCTCAATCTGTTTTATAGATGGATGGATGAATTCGAATGGATATCGTGAGATGCTCAAAAACACCTACTCAATATCACTGATAGTTTGGGCGGATCTGAATGGGTCTTCCAGCAGGATAATGCTCCTGTCCATCGAGCGAAGATCAATCTGGCTTGGTTCAAGTCGCAAAAAATTATCGTTTTGCCGTGGCCATCATTATCTCCAGACTTGAATCCAATAGAAAACCTATGGGGTATGCTATCAAGGAAGGTTTATTCAGAAGGGAAGCAATTTAGAACGAAAGAACAGTTGAAAGCTGCCATACTCAAGTCATGGGAAGAAATAAGCATTAATCAACTTCGCGATTTAGTCGGTTCAATGCCCGACAGAATATTTGAAGTTATTAAGCTAAATGGAGCGAAGACACGATATAAATCAGTATTTTGAATTCGTTTTTTTTCCATTTCATTTACAGTGGTCTTATAATTATGCACCATAATAAACCACGAAATTTCAGAAATCCATGAAGCATAATTGATAAAATCTTGAATATTTTCGTACTGTATACATATGCCTCAATACTCTTAATTTCAAAGAATCAGGGTGTGGGTGTGTAGATTCAGACGATATCAACACCCACACCCACCCCCACACCTTCACCCACACCCCACACTCACCCACACCCACACCCACACCCAATACCGTTATTCCACTGTGGCAAATATGAAATCACCAGAGTACATATGTCGGCAATTCGTCTAGGCACGCTCGTATTTTTGTCCTTAGCAGCATCCCTGACGGAATTACACAAATTGGCTGCTAACCCCACCTACGTTTTGTCACTACTAGTTTTAACACATACTGATGTTGCCGTCATTTCTTCAGTGATTGTTTTTCATCATGCACAATAACAACTTATGGTCCTAAGGCCACTAATGCTTCGAATAACATTTTTGTTTCGCGTTTTTTTGTAAACTGTCCGTAATCGAGTATTTGAATCATAGAACGTGATTATAACCTTATGCAATTAGAAGAAGTTATCTAATTGAATTAGGGCTTTCTATTAATGATACACATTATATACTGTGGAATAGATATTGAGTAATTTAACATGAAACATGTTGCCAATCACTTTACTTAATAAAAAATTAAAGAGGAAATAAACATTTGTTTTTATTATATGAGCAAAATCATTTGTTAGCGACGTGACTTCGCATAATTAAAACGCGTATACCTCGAGATAATGTATTTTCCAAGGCTAATTTTTATGTGATATGTATCTTAAGGGTATCTCCCTCTTTTTTAGTAAAAACTGAAAAAAAAATTCTTGTTTATGTACTCTAAACATAAACTGGATATTGACCTTTCGATCTGTGCTTCAATGAGGTCAATCCGATCTGCCGTTAATTTTTATTTGATTTTTACGACAAGCTATGTGTTTCAAAAAAAAACTTTTTTTTAATATGATTATCAGATTCGTCATAACAGACTGCCCATAGAATCGTTAAAAAACAAAGTTTCAACATTTCTCTGTAACGAGGTCACTTCTCAAACTTCTTTTGCGTTTTTCTCAAAACTAGTTTTTCATACAAAGCGTCCCATTGTGCCACGTACGACCCCTCTCTAACACTGTCCGATCGGGCTGAAATTTTTACCACAGATACTTTGGAACATGGCCCCGAAGTAAAATCAGTCGTTTTTGTTTTTGACCTTTCTAGGCGGATTTATAGGATCTGAAAGTCAAGATCCGATTTTTGGCTAAAAACTTTTACATTTTTTTTCATAAAAAAAAAAGAAAATGAGATTTTTGGAAAAGCTCAAAACTACTTCTGAGATATAGTTGCCGGTATCTTGAAAAAAAATTTTCACTCAAATCGGACAAAGTTTGATGGGACTTTACCGTGGGAAGACGAAGTCCTATGGAAAACCAGAGTTTTCCACAATACCCAACAAAAACCCTCTTGAAAAACTTTTTCCTCGAACACGTGTCTCGTTATTTTAGGTGTTCTATCTCTGGTAAAAATTTCAATCCGATCGGTTGAACCGTCTTCGAGATCTAGAAATCGTGAAAGAAGAGGGGGGGGGGGTACCCTTAAGGTACTTTAGATATTCTGCAAAAATCAACCCTAGAGACTTTTGATCAGAGAAGTTATCACTAAAACACTAGCGCTATCGATGTGAGTCCAAAAGGGACATCAGCTTTCATTTCATGCATTGTAACTGGACATTTTTTAATTGACGACATAAAACGTGTCATGAATATGATCTCGAACGAATACTATAAAATAAAAGAAATAAAAACCGAAAAATATGAACATCAAATTCTCTTTTTCAGTTTTTATTTCTTTCTTTTTCTTATACCTATAATTACAATCATTTTATTAACACAGATTTGTGGAAAAAAATATACAGATAAATAGTTATGCAACACGGATATACAGTGTTTGATTTTCGAGTTTTATACATACTTTATCTTCATTATATTTGCTTAAACCAAATGATTGACGTCGTTTGTCTATAATATAATTGCGAGAAAATGGATAACTTAATAGATAATCATCTTTAAATTGTATGACGATCAGACGTAACTTTGAAAGTTCACTTAGCAAAATATCAACAATAGGTGCTAAAATATCGATTGAATAGACTTCCAACTCAACAATAGTCAAAGATGGAAAACGTTGAACAAATTTCGATATATATTTCGGATAAATATACACCTCATCTGATAATATACGAATCTTGTTCAGTTGATTAAAAGTCAGCCATAATGAAGGATTCTTCAATACTGTGGTTGAGAAAAGTAATGAACTGTTTATAATAAGTGTTGTAACATTTGGACATGCTCTGAAAAGAGAAAATAAACGTATTTTGTACCTAATACTAAACATGGTCTAGAATAAATGAAAAACTTCTCAAATTAATTTTTCTCTTTGATACATCCATACGAACCATTTTAATGAATTTGAAATTCTACAGTCTACCATATATTGAATGCTCCATCGATTCTCTATATTTTTTACTTCAAAAATTCTACAATCGTATTTTGACAGCAGTGGACAAATTTTCGATCGGTGAGTAAAATGCTGATTTTCAGCGGAAAAAGGACGCTCAGGTCAAAAGTGGTCGTCCGCCTAACTATGAAAGACTCCACTTGCGGAAAAATGAAGATATCTATCAGAATTATGCTTTAGAATAATGGAACAATGTTCATATCTAGCAGAAAAATGCTTTACTGTAATATCTGTATCTATATACATTTTCTTAGCGGAAAAATGAAAATCGAGCATTTTTCCAATGCATATAAGCATAATTCCTTTTTTTCAAATCATAATTCCTATGGATACTTTCATTTTTCCTATGGAGTTCCATTTTTACGCTGATAATGTATGTGTCTAACTAAAAAATAGAATCATTTTTTCAATACGTATAAGCATAATTCCATTTTTACAAACCATAATTTCTATAGTTATTTTCATTTCTCCTACAGATTTTCATTTTTCTGCTGGGAAAACGTATTATATAGGTAGAAGAGTAAAGCATCTTTCTTCTAGATAGAATCATTATTCCATTATTCTAAACCATTATTCCCATGGAAATGATAATTTTTCTCATAGATTTTCATTTTTCCACTAAGAAAAGAAAATAAACCTATAGAAAATAACATTATTCCCATTAATTTTCATTTTTCCGCTAACAGAAATATATATATAGAATATAATCTATACACGTACTAGATATAAACATTTTTCCTCCCTTTATATTCATTATTTAGAATCATTTTTCCTATGGATAATATCATTATTCCCATTGATTTTCATTTTTCCGCTGATAAAATATAATATATACATTAATTAAAGAATATCATTTTTCGAAACATCTTTTCTTTGACCGAAGCATTATTCCATCTTTCCAGGTCATATTTCGTATGGAAATCATCATTTTATATTCGAATGTAATGGTGCGATTTCTTAATTTAGTCGTTTGCCTATGGGAGACAATCATTTTTGACCCGAACGGCTTTTTTCCGCTTGATATAATCATTTATCTCACCAATCGGATTGTTGTCCCACCCTCTTTCTTCGAGTAATAGAGCTTATAGAATTAATCTTTCAACAATAAGACTTTTCTATATGAATACATTAATATTGAACAAAAATAAATGATTAATATAGACATAACTTACAATAAAACACGTTCAATAACATTTAATCTTCTTATATCATTGTTTCGTGAAAACTCTACAGTATCAATATTAGACAAATTAACAAGACGTGAAAGATTATCAAAATATTTTTGTGAATCATCGTCATCTCTCGTAAATAATGATAAAACTGAATAAGAGAAAAACAATGAAGTTGTATGGTTTATTGATAGATTAAATATTAAGTAAACTTACTTCGTTTTAATCGTATTGTAGTGTTCTGTAAGAATGATATGACCGACGGTTCCGGATATGCTAAGTGGCATACGATATAAGTGATATTTTGAAATGGAAGAATAGTAGGTAATTGAATAGATAATGTTGTTCTATCACTTGGCATAAAGAAATCCATTTTGTGGTGATGAAAATTAAGCTGGCGATTATTAAGATTGAATATATTTGTTGATTGGATATAGAATGTATCGCTCATTGTAATGGATGGTATATCATTTTCACGTCGTGTTATCAAATGATTATAATTGAGTGTCCACATATGAATGTGGTCAGCTGAAATAATAAGGATGATACAAATATAACTTTTTCTCTTATTGTAACCATCGATTATTGTTTTTAGATATACATCATACAATGTAAATAAATAAAAACAAGATCTTTTCTTGACATTAACACCATAGATAATGATTATACCGGGTGAGGCATAATGATTGCACCTTTGAATCTTTCGCGAATATCTCATCACAAATAAATCATATAATCTTGATTTTTTTCTTAAAAGATGCGGCGTGAAAAGCTCTACAAAAACTGTAAGAACAAATCCCTATTGACTTGTTCTTATAGTGTCTCCTATACCCAAAAATGAACAGGTCACATTACGGTGCTATGTCCCACCGTATTTAGCATAATAGAAATATCTGGAAGGCTTTTTTGTTTTGCAATAAGAATTTGTTTATACAGTTTTGGTAGAGCTTTCGACGGCGTATCTTCTGAAAAAAAACCAAGGTGTTATCATTTTCTCAAGCCGAGATATTTTCAAAATGAAAAAGGCTTCCAAATATTTTTATTATCCTAAATATGGTGCGAAACAGCACCATTATGTGACCTGTTCATTTTGAGTATCGGAGACACCATCAGAAGAAGTCAATAGGGATTTGTTCTTACAGTTTTTGTAGAGCTTTTTACGCCGCATCTTTTAAGAAAAAAATCAAGATTATATGATTTATTTGTGATGAGATATTTGCGAAATACTCAAAGGTGCAATCATTATGCCTCACCCGGTGTATTTAAAATATCTGAACTCCAGAAAAATTACTGATATTTTCAACAAAGTTCTATTCGAAATGACAGAAATTAAACTTTTATCGGATCTGTACATATGTTTTTATCGTGAATCGATAGATAATAGGCAACTATCTGACACTGAAAAAAAGGTAAGTCTATCAATAGCAAGAAGTGTTAATTCATGAGGAGCTATGACATCATAACAACATTCTCTCAATTGGAAGAAATGTGACTGAAAGAAAGCTGATTCCGTAAGACTCGAATATTTTTGTTCATTAGAACGAAACCATAGAATAAGCATTTTTGATCTGATAAAGAATGCTTACCCTTCAAGGAATATATCAATATTCAAAAGTTCAGTTAATACAATGAACTACGTTTTGAAATTTCTAAGATTTTGCTTATTTCTCAACTGTTGTTCCTTTTTTACAAGGAAAAATATCCTCGTTAACCTACTGATGAATAGATATGTATCTAAAAATTGTTTTCTCAATTTTATATATTGGACATCTTCTAGCGGAAACAAATACAACAATTAAGTACGAAAGAAATCTAGAAATGAAACTTCTATCTGTATTTGAGTAATTTTTTAGATATAGATTTAAATTTTATTTTTCTTCAAATCAAACTTCATGGAAAGATTACTTGTCTAGATAAAAAACACTTATTTATTAATTCTCCAATTTTATTTATTTAACTTACTGAAAACAAACAGAATATTTGGCCAATACTCCCATCGACTAATGCACATATCCCATTGATGATATAAGTTGACAAGACATCTGAATGAGTTGACAATATTATCAAAATCTAATGGTTGACCATACTTTAACAAAGATATATGAAAATCAAATTTTTTTAAATAAGGTACATGACTTGTTAACATCTCTTGCCAATTTTGTCCATCAATCAAATCCATAATAAATGGTGAAAGACTTCGATCACGAATAAGTGTAAAAACAAATTGATAAAGATTTGGCATACAATGGAGAATAAGACCAATTGAATAAATATCGCATGGAGCCATAACTATTTGTAAATCGAACGATTTTAATAATGATGATAGTGGAAGATCATTTTCATTAATAAAAGGAAGATGAGGCACACTTAAAAGAAAAGATGCGTATTTTTCAGGCTCCAAAAAAATTAATGGATTTAAATCATTTACAAAATAATATATAGACTTACTTTGTATTATAAGCCCCTATCACCTGTGTACTTTTAATTGTCACACAAAGAGTTCGTAATGCACGATGAATACGAAGCAAAGGAATAAGAGAATAAATCGATATATCATTTAATGTGCCATAAAAGATTATTTGCAAATGTGTAAGATTTGTTGTAACTTTTGATATTGTTGCAATTTGAGTATGATTATAATGAAAATAAAGAGAAGTTGAGCGAAGTGTTGATGGCGTATCTATCAAAATCAATTGACTAAATTCAAATGCATCAGATGTATTAAGTTTATCTTCTTTAACATTACAAGATTGAATTATACGAAATAAAACGATCTTTGGTAATTTTGATAATTTTTCAACAGCAATTTTTAATTTAGATGATGAATTAATTGAATAAAATATGCATGAATGAAGATTGATAAAATCATGCCGATGAAAAAGATATGCAATAACACTTGTTTGATCACAAATTTGATCATGAACTTGTAATGAAACAACTTGATCAGAATGAAATTTCAAATGATTACACAAAAATTCAAGTTCATGACGACAACAAGTTCGATGAATGTTGATATGAAGAGGAATAGAGTTGAGAAGTAAAGAGATACGTAAGTTAAGTGAAGTAAATCCAAAAAAAATATCATTTGCATTTAAGTACTCGAATATATCCAAAAATATTTCATTTGATAAATCTTCCAATTGCGTACGAATAGTCATTTTATTCGTTATCGAGCATATAGCCATGCATATAAGTATGTTGTACATGCACAGAATAACAGGCGAACTGACCATTGTGTGTACGGCTGCCCTCTACAACTCAGTCAACATTGTTGACGAATAAAATATTTAAGTGAATATTCTTTTCCATCTTGATCAATGATAAAAATGGTCATGTAGAGAATATCAGTCTGTATCTGTGTTTATATTCAACGTGTTCTAGCCTCTTTCTTCATTTGAAATTCTTACATAATTTATTCTTCGAGACTGTATTACTTGATTATTTGCAATAAAAGTGTTTAATTAAACAAAAACAAATCGACCTCGCTGAAGAATTTAAGAAAGCTTTATAAATAATAATGTTCGAAAAATCATACAATTCATTTTTGTTATCAAATGAAGGATTTCAAAAAATATTTAATACTCCAGGATCTTGTTTTTCTTTGGATAAAATCGTACAGTAAAGAATAAATTCATTTGACGTTTGAGATTAAAATTGCTACAACTTATATGCTAAATACAACTTTCCAGCTTTTTAACTCTTGTACTACCGATCAAGGTCGTTTTAGATCCTGTTCTTGGAAACTACTTTTTGCAAATTCAATGTCTTGTGAAAAAAATTCTTTAAAATATGTTGATTTTCCGATGTATTTGTGTTCCCGAGTCTGCTCTTTCCAACGGTGAAAATCGCGTCTTTCTATCATGTTACTGTTTACTGGCGTAACCACTGGGGGTGGGGGGATGCAATGCCCCCTCGGTAAATGGTCCCCCCCCCCTTGTAAATTTTTGATTAAAGCATGATGAACTTTTCTATTTATATACCGTGAGATGTTATGTTTGTGATCTTAGGGAGCATATAACTTTACGCGACAAGGAAAATAAGAACTTCTTTTTTCAATAATCGTCATGAGCATGGCTGACTTCGGCGGTAAAAATATCGAAAACAGAGATGTGTGCGGCCAATTTTTGAGAGTTTATAGGACTGAGAGTGGAATCTGCTTGGGAACTTTGGTCCTGTCAAAACAGTCATTTTTCAAGAAAAATTAAATTTGAAACTTCAGAAATTCCGATTTTTCTTATGCATATTCGGATGGCAACTTCATCAACTCTGCGAAACCGATATCTTTGGTATTTTCGAATTTTCCAATATTTTTAGATTTTAAAAAAATACTCATCTTTCTACGGGTTCTGGGCAGAAAATGAAAGACAAAAAGAAAATGTTTCATTAATAATGTTTAAAATTCATATAAAATATTGACTACAAGAACTGTTAACTCACTTTGCAAAAATCACAATCGAATTCTGTCGAATATCTGGATCCATGGTTGTTTTCATTGCATGTACCACAAACATAACATGACACTTTAGCATCACTATATTCTATAACTAAAAGAGAAGAAAAAAAAATAATAAACACACGATATGGAAATACAAATTAGGTTAATTTCATAGTACAGATTACTTTGAAGAAAAATATTTATAACTTACTTGAACAGACGATCGCAACAATCACTAAAATTTGACAAAGATGAAACATTGTTTATTTTGATTAATGAAAGTAAATAAAACAAGAATTGATCCGAAAATGAGTAAAATTTTATTGTGTAATTATTTATTATGGGGACTATAACTTTAGATATAAAATTATTGTAAGAATGAGGGAAAATCGTTCACAAATTCGTCATGATTTCGTTTTCTTATAAAACTTCTTCGAGATATTCATGTTTGTTT